GCTAGTCTTAACCTCACATCTGCTATTAGCGGATTATGATCGGATGCAATATCAGCACCTGGATATGCTGCGATTCTTTTGATAGCGTTACGAAATCTTCTGTTTATTAAAACGTAGTCAATTTGGTTTCTAATTATTCGATTTGGACGGTCTCCTGGCGATCTCCAAGTATATAACTTACGAGGTGGGAGCTGAAACCATGTGTTCATGACGACAAAACCGTTCTCCTGGCAGAATTCACACAGCAGGTCGCCTCTTTCATTTCTAACTCCAAGGCCGTACTCTCCAATTATGTCTTCATATCTTCCTTTACCCACCTTGGCGTTAAAGTCGCCCATTATTATGTTTATGTCCTCTTTCTTTGTTAGTCTTATTGCTTTTTCCAGATCTTTATAGAACTTAGTCATTTCTTCTTCTGACTTATCTGCTGTTGGTGCATATGCTTGTGTCACATTTATGTTTACTGGTTTGCCTGTCATTTTGATCAACATGACTCGTTCGGAAATTGGAACAAAATCTGTCACCGATTTACTGGTCTTCCTGTCAAGAGCAATAGCCACCCCATGTCGGTGATGTCTATCTGTTGGGTCACTACACGAGTAATACATAGTAATCTTATCTTTCGTAAACTGTCCAGATCCAGACCATCGGACTTCACTGACTCCCATTATATTTATTTTCAGCCGATTCATTTCCTTTATAAGGTTGTGTAGTTTTCCTGGTTCGTAAAGACTATTAACATTCCATGTTGAAATTCGTTGGATATCATCTATTTGGCACCGGGAGATTCTTCGCACCCTCTGACCATCTAAGGCCTGCCCGGGACTGGGGGCCATCTGAGTTTTGTTTTGTTCTGCCATAATGAGATGAGTTATCCTGGGGAAAAGGTAGTGTTGTAGTATCCCGTTACTTTCAACACCGCAGTACCACAGCCATTCAAACTGTCCTAGTCATGCCTGTGGAATTCCAATAACAAGCCGGTCCAAGATACTTTCTTTTGCGCCTTGCGTTGGTACTTTTGATCGCTGCTGCCCTTCACCAGGGTTGAGAACTAGGAGGGATAAATATGGAGGGTGTAGGATAAAGGCTCTGGGACATGAGATTCCACGGTGTGAGATGGTGGAATATCATGAGCTAGCGTGGGCAGGGTCGCTAATCCCTGAAGTATATGGCCTAACAGTTATTTGTAAATTTTTGGTTTTTTGTTTTAGTTGTTTATTGAGTGGCACGGCCACCTCTCTGGAACGAAGTTTAAGGTTTTAGCCGGAACACGGTGTAACGATGAGTCCAAGCCATCACCGTTAAACCAGCGTGCGCGCGAACCAACCCATGAAGTAGGAGTGTATCGACAGTAGAAAGGGCAAAACTAATTACCAAGCTCCGCTATATAAACCGCAACATTTCCTCATAGAGGCAGAATCGACAGGTGTTGACTGAAGGTTCTCTTCTTCCCTACCCCGGCTTGTGGACGTGTTGAGTTCACAAGTTGTTCCGTTCCATACCGCCGTTACCCGAAGAGCGTGTTGAGCTCTTCATTACCCGTACTCTGAAGCAGTCGTGTTGAGACTGTCGAGGAGTGTCCTATTAACCCGAATCACTTAAGGAACGTGTTGAGTTCCTTTCCTTTCTTTGTACCGATCGTCCGCTGTTATTAAATCGATACAACGTTCTCGTAAAATTTCAAATACACACTCGCTTGCCGATAACACTAATTTCATATGACAAGGTCAAACTTAATTTGAATAAATAGGCCAGGTACTGAGAAGACTAAACCAAATTGTAAATATGAACATAAGATTTTTGTCAATTTAATTTAAGGAAGACAATAAAGTTTTATTTTTATTTTGAACTCTGTCTCTGACTGTCCAAAAGCTACCCGGATAGTAACTCCTACGAGAGGACATCACAACGGTTCATACGGCACTACCCTGGGGTCTTCTGGCTTAGTATCCTACTCGGCCGAAAGATGCCAGGGTGTCTTGTTCCGTGATTTAAATGTCCAAAAAATATTTCCCCCACCGTTGCCTGTCAGAATTCAATGGATACCTTCTTAGGTTCTTACTGAAATCTGGCAATACGGCAAAAAAAAACATGATATTGCCAATATTGCTGAGTTGCGTCGGGACAACTCTGGGAAAAAAACCTCATAATACTATCCCGACATAGTAAATATTTGGTTGTACATTTAGTTTACTATCAATAAACACCAAATTCTGATTTTATATGTATGTTATTTAAAATACATAAATGATGTATTCTCGATATGTTACTAACTTACTAATACTGGTATTTTCCTTTTATTAACTTCCTCTTTTAGTATCGGTAACCAGATCCTACTACATTCTGCCGAGGAATTTGCCACACATGGCTTCATTTAGCACAATTAGAGCTGCTTCTTTCATTTTTCTCTTTTCGCCATCCGTTATCCTTAGGATTACACTTAAATCATTCCACTGAACCCTATATTTAATATAAGATTAATGTTTACATATTCTAACATTTAATGGCCTTGATATTTCACAATGACACAATGTGAATTTAGGACAAGACTAAACATAATATCAGCTATAATGAAGTTATTGACATTATGTACTGATAATACATATTTTCAACTAAATAATGAATTCTATAAACAAAATTTTGGTCTAGCAATGGGCTCTAGTTAATCTCCATTATTAGCTGATATATTAATGGAAGATTTTGACACAAATATTATTTATAAAAAAAAAATTTTAAACCCACAGTATGGTGGAGATATGTAGATGATGTATTTTCAATATTGCCTCATGGATCCAACTTTCGTGTTGAACACATTCCTAAATGATATAAACGATAAAGAAGAGACAATAACATTTACCTTGGAAAAGGAATATAGTAACATTACCTTTCCGGGATGTTTTAATCTGTAAGAACAATACTTGACATGAGACTCAGGTGTATAGAAAACCAACACACACCAACAGATATTTAAATTTCAAATCAAATCACAATATTAATATTAAAAAGGGAATCATTAAATCCTTATACGATAGAGTCAAAATTGTTTGTTCTAACGAAAATTCGTTCTTGGAGGAAAAACATTTGTTAACATCTGTTTTATTTAAAAATGATTATCCTTTATTGTTTATAAATAAGGAATTGTCAACAATTGACCGAATAGAACAGACCAACTTATAACGAGGTGCTATAGTATAAACAAGGAATAATACGAGGAAAATAACAACACCATACATAAAAGGTTTATCAGAAAAACTTAAAAAAGTGGGAAATAAATTCAACATTTTAACAACATTCAAAACAACAATCACATTGAGATACATTTTGTCTAAAACTAAACCTTACAATAAACAAGAAATGACAAAGAATTGTATTTATAAAAAAACCTTGTGACGGCGATCAGTTTTATTGAGGTGAAACATTAAGACCATTAAATGTTAAATAAGTGAACATCAACCTTATATTAAAAATAGAGAATTTGATAGATCTCAAATATGTAAACACGCATGGGATAATGAGCATAGGGTACAATGGAATGATTCAAATATAGTCCTAAAAGAAACGGATGATAAAAAGGTAAAATTCAAAGAAGCGGCTCTAATTATGCTAGGTGAGATCAATTGTGTCGCAAATTCCTCGGCAGAATGCAGTAGGATCTGGTTACTAATATTAAAAGAAAAAACTAATAGGAAAATACCAGTATTAGTAAGTCAGTAACATATCGAGGATACAGCATTTATGTTGTTCAAATAACGAACACATTTCAATTGTAGCTTATTCCCACTAAAATAGTAATTACTTTAAAATGCCACAAGAAAATAGCTTCAGAAGTAATTTAAGTTCCACACGTACCAAAAATGCTGCCGAAAACGTCGGATTTGTGGTTAATACACTGAAAACTAAATACATGCCGAAAATAAATCAAGAAGCCAACAGAACAACTTATGGATACAACATGAAACTATTTAAACAGTGAAATAATTCTGCTACTTGATGACTGATAGACTGCAAAGACAGTACGTCTAAAGAAATAAGAAAGTAAATATGCATAACTATCTGCTATCACTTTGGCCTAGGCGCATTCAACTAAGAGCGATAAGTATATTAAGAGCGACAAAATAAAAACAGCGATATGTCATAACGGAACGAGATGACGAACTGCTGTGAATATTTGAAACAACCTACTGAACCATTAAGATGGCATTGGATAATATATACCTACTTAATTCATTAATTTATAGATAGTAAAATATAAAGATCGATGACTGAAATATACTTAATTCATAAAAACTCAACTTGTTGAATTTCAGAGAAAATTTAAATGAAAATGAACATAAAAAAATTAAATTAATTTGATGAAAAACTTCATATGAAAGGGGTTGCTGATATTCGACAAGATTTATTTTCAAAGTTAGATGATATGGCTTAAAAGAAAGGGCGAGGATATTTAAAACAAATATAAATCAGTAACATATTATGGTGAAATATAAGATTGGAAATTATGACAATAATTTAAATAAAAGTTACTCAATAAAGTAGATACCTATGTGCAATGTTGAGTTTTACTTTTAGAAGTAAGTAGGTATAATTGTCAGTAGAAAAATATGTAATAGGTTGGCCCTAATAACAATATAAATAGAGTAGCATAGAGTGTATGGATCACTAAGTAGGAGAAAAGAAAAAATCTTTTAATTAAGTAATATCACAAGCTTTAGACAGAAAACAGAGAAGTATAAAAACTAAAAGAGTAGTATTTGTTAAAATTAGATAAACAAATTTTTAAGAAGAAGAAGACAATGTTTAGGTCGAAATTATAATAAAGTTCTTATCATTACTTACAAAAAGTTTCATTATATCGAAATTATTTAACAATATTTCCAATGTAACTCCCGGACTATAACTGCTTATTCTTAAAATATGGCAACATCCCATTCTGTTATGTGCTCATTCATAAAAAGAAGAATACTAACTGTCAAAAATTAACAAAGTTGAAAGTTGTCAATGTCAATCGTCACGTCACATTCGCAACGTCAGATGTAAACGTATTACTAAAGACCGAAAAAAAGTAGTTACAAGTTTTTGGAATAACTGAAAATAAAATGTATAACTAATTTTTATAAACATTTACAAGATAGTCTACGAAATTAAGTTGAAACAATGGGTTAGTATTTAAACTGACAGATAGGACATTGAGGTTAAGTTTTTATATTTTTAGGTATGTTATTTAGTTATTTCAAAAGCCTTATAGGCACTCGAGAAATGAGGATTTTGATTTTGGGATTAGACGGTGCAGGAAAGACGACAATATTATACCGATTACAAGTAGGAGAAGTAGTAACTACCATTCCAACTATAGGATTTAATGTTGAACAAGTTACATATAAAAACCTCAAATTTCAAGTATGGGATCTAGGGGGCCAGACAAGTATAAGGTATAGAATGAACTATTAACAACTTTAGCTAAACCAGAATTATATTCTCTTATAACAAGGCATATTATCTGCCTTACATAGATCTATTCATGTTCCAAATAACAATAAAGCAAATTTTACCCAGTAAATTTGTTTTTATGTTTAAGTAGTTGGTTTACAATAGTGTTTAAGAAAAATATACCTTTTTTCAATCTACAAGCTCTAAGAGACTGTTTAAAATATATTTTGTTATACTTTAACATTCATGTATATATACTTTAAGATATCCTTAAACAAACTAAAAATAGCATAGTAAAAAAACATAACAAAGAAATAAGAGAAATTTTTAAAGGACTTTTGAATGATAATAATTTTGTTTTTAATGCAACCATCAAACACCAATTTTTTTAATAAGAAATAAACAAATTTTACTTTTGTAAAATGTATAGCTTATATTATTGTTTAACTCCCATTATCTTTAAAGTTCCTCCTTGTTTTAATAGTGTACTAATTTTATCAATACTATATTACCATGACAACTGAAAAAATATTTGAAATGTTAATTCACCAATAATAAAACCTTATACAGAAAATTCATTTGAAAAAAAATTCTGGTATGTTTAGATATCATTATTAACTATTCATTTTTGAAAGAATTATCACATATATTTATGTGAAAATTATTATTACACCAAGGAACACTTTTGTTTCTATATCATATTAAAGAATTACATACTCAATATTTTTGTTCTTAGTCTTGTTCTTTGTGTGCGATATCAGAATTATTGTACTTTGGCAATCACTATTGCAAAGGTTTGTCAATCTTCTGCTACATGGAATATGGGATAATTGTCCTTCATTTGATATCTGAGTCCATTCATGAATGTTTTTTTAACCAAGAAACCTGTTTTTTCATACACCTCTACAGTATTTTGCCTTTATCAGTTGTAGTATTCTATATTCTATATCAATTTTTCCTTACTATATGTCCCAGATAAGATATTTTCCTGTGTTTAACAGTCTTTAGCAGTTTTACATCTTTTTTGACTCTCCTTAGTACTTTCTCATTAGATGTTCAAGGTATCTTTAACATCCGTCTATAAATCCACATTTCCAATGCTTCAATTCTGTTCAAGCCTGATACTTTTAGTGATAATACAGAATTGCATACTCAATTTTTTGTTCTTAGTCTAATATAGTGTATTATTTTTGTTAGTGCAACTTTTAGCAGTGCTTTTATATATAAAAGAAAATTGGGAGGACTAAGTATCTGATACCTCATTTTGGCATCTGTGTTTAAAGCCGGAGATACACATGCCTAGTTGCCATGCCTAGTTGACATGCTGTTACTAGCACAATGGCATACCAGCACCTAGCAAGCACCAGCTACTGTCCCCAAACTGGCAAGTGTGTATGTTAACTGGCATGCTAGTTCCTATTAATCGCAAATAATTTGATTTTTCTTGCTAGTAGCATGCTCTAAGGTGCATGGGTGGGGAGTGTCACTGGCATGTGTGTAGGCACACTACCTCTACGGACATGCCCATGGGCTTGCCAGTAGCTGTCAGATTTGTTATGTTGGTGATAAAAATTAATCTTTTTGTTTTTAAACTTGTTAATTTACAAAAATTTTCTTTAATGTGATGAAAAAACCATCAAATTTAATGCAATATATAGGGAATTGGAGTGCCTTAGGAATTCTAAATCATCTCTATATAAAAATAAAATAGCCCATGACAATGCTTACACACCCAAATAACAAATTTTTCTCTTTTTTGAGTTCATTATTAAATTTCTAACAATATCCGTGGTCATCAGCAATATTTGCTTGTTTAATTCATTCCGAATACCTTATTAATTACAAAACAAGTACTAATGAAAACCACTTGATTGTTTGCTAGCACTAGCATGTGTAAAAATATGCCCTTCCTTTTCACCTTGCCAGTATAGGCAAGCTAGTTACTGGCATGAAAATTACTAGCAAATGTGTTTTGTGCTTGCCAGTTACTGGCCTATGCCAGCAACTGGCTCCCAGCTACTTTCTCAATGTACTGACATGTGTGTACCCAGCTTAATGCTTTTTTGTGACCTATACAGAGATCGAAGTTGACATAGTTGCCAAAGTATAAAAAAATCCTGACTCCATTTTAAATCAAATAGATCACATAATTATTGCAAAAATATTATCATCTCTTTACTACTATTCAAATTCTTACATGACATTTTTGAAATAAAACACTAATTTTGTTCTAAAAAGAGCAGATTTTATTAAATAGGTAAAAATATAAAACAAGAGGTATTCACTTAAAAATGCAAAATAATAAAGTACAAAAAGTGTCAACACCGCAACTGTCAAATAAGTGTTACCAATTTATGCCAAAATTTTACCTTCGTTTGATTACAGTTACAGTGTGTTCCGAACAAATGTTCTTTATAAAAACGCTTTATAATGCATTTATACAAATTAAATGAAACATATTATTGTGCATTTCTTTAAGTTAACATTAATAGAAATTTTTAAATATTATTTCTACGCGTGTATAATAAAATATGTCTAGTGGCTGTAATGCCAGTGTACTCAGCAAAGTGATTCTAAAAAAACAACACTCCTACCGCCTAAATATTTCGTGTTGGTATCATGTGACGTCACGGGCTATGACGCCGATGACGTGCATCAGTATGTAAATTAGATGAAGTGTAAATCAATATGAAAGATTTTTCAGGTTTTCTTCATAAAAACACTGGTTAGTCATAAATTTTTAAGTAAAACAAGGTAAAGCTGCAGCTGTTAACTAATCTTAAATAAGGTATAAAAAGGATATCAAATAACAAAACCCTTCTGTAATATAATTGTCTTTAAAATTTTCTAAAATGTAAAAATAAGTAAACCACTATTCCATTCAAGGAACTTTAAAATCCATCATATAGAATGCTTGGGATTTAAAGCTTATATAGGGCTGCAGTGACAGTTTTCTTCATATTATCATGCTATACTAATTTGGTTTAATTTAATTCAGGTCATTCTTGAAATGTGATATAAATGTAAAACAGTGTAAATGATTATTTTCTATATACAATCATAAGGATCTTTTTTTATATATTGTATTATATAGGAAGATGTCCATAGATTAAGAAAAGAAAAAGGAGTTGTAGAAATAATAAGGTTTATTTCTAAATATTTCATTTTTATAGTCAAATTATCGAAACTGGAATTTGAATTCTCAATTGAACATCAGATACACAGATGACATGGAGGTATTCGCTGACAGTTATGAAGTCCTCCATAAGTTAATGAATAGAATTACAGAAGTGACTCAGAGACAGCAAATTTAAAGAATCAGTGTGAATGGTCCAACCAATAGAAAGAGTAAAAACATACACCTACATTGGTACGAATGTCAATGAAAATTGGGACCATTCCCTAGAAATAAAATGTAGGATATAGAAAGCAAGATCTGCATTTCAAAAAATGGCTAAGCTATTAAAATGCCATGATTTATCAGTACCCATAAAAATTAGGTTACTATGATGTTATATCTTTCCTATACTGTTGTATGAAGTTGAGTTGTGGACTCTCACAGACGCTACCTGCAAGAAAATTGAGACTCTTGAAATGTGGCTTTATTTATACTAACCAGAATGTTTTATAAATAATGCAACAATGAAAAGAGTTGTTAACCACAATAAAAACAGAAAAAAAAAAACTAATACCTCGGTCACATCATGATAAACAGCGAAAGATAGCGGTTGTTGCAATTAATTCTACAAGAAAAAGTAGAAGGCAAATGTGGACCAGGAAGGATTTCCTGGCTGGAAAATCTATGTATGTGGTTCAACACAACAACCACAAATCTTTTTAGATCAGCAGCTTGCAAAATACAGATTGAAATGATGGTTTCCAACTTCCGAAATGAATAGGCTGTTTTGTATAAAACTTAAGTGGTTACTGGTTAAACGATATTACAATAATAATGAAGAAAAATGCAATATTTTGACATAAATAAAAGTAGTGAAAATATCAAATATTTAATTGTGAATAAATTACGAGAATTAACTAGCTTCAACTCATTACTGGTAACTGTACAAAGAACATAGACTTACCTTTTGGTATATTCGTAGCCAGTGGATTAGATTGGTAGCGCTGACTGTCGCGACGCCATCCGAGGCACAAAAGGAGGGATGTCCCGTGCTTACTGTACGCTGTCTCTGTAGGAAGTGTTACTTGAGATGGTCAGAACAAACCCTCTGTACATTCTTAGGTAGTCTATGGAACAAGTGCTCCCCCATAAATCAACCCTATTTTAGGGCGCTTCTGAATAGTCATGATAATAATTTTAACATTCTACTTTTTAGACCATATTGGAGATGCTACTACAGCAATACAGATGCAATCATATATGTAGTTGATTCAGCTGATAAAGAAAGAATAGGCATATCAAAAGATGAATTAGTTCCAATGTTAAGGGTGAGTAATATGTGATAAATAATCTTCTTTATATTTTATAGCTCAAATTACATTATCTATCAATATCATTTGTTTTATTCTTATAAAAGTTGTAAAAATTAGACTATTTTAATTAGCTTAATTAATTTACTTCATACTGTGATCCTGGAAAACATGCATAAATGAATGAAATATTGTTATCTCTCATTATAAACCTGCTTCTTACTACTTAAAAAAAAAAGATTAATTTTCTTTAATTAGCTAAAAGTAATATTTTTGGATTAAAATATCACCATGCCGTTCATATAAGACATCTATAGTTTACATGATAACTTATTTGCTATTGATAGGGGATATTTTAAAATTATTTTTTGGCGCTCTGTCAGTGGGTTGAAGATTGTTCTGTTGGGATTGCTAGTTGCAGTTTGTTTGTAAGTGCCATTCTCTGATAATTCTTTATTTTAGTGTACAGTTGGTACAGTATAAATCCTGATGTATGTAATTATTTATATCAGAAATCATAGGTGATATTGTTGCCAAATTACAAAAAATTCATGAATTCATTTTAAATAAAATATTTTTATTTTTTATTTATTTATTTATGTAGACAATTTACAAACACTATAGACTAATAATAATTACATGTAGTGTTTAAGACAAAAAAAATACAATAAATGCAAGAAACGAACATTAATAATACAATAAGAAAAAAATACAATAAACCCCTTAAACCTACTGCTGATGAGCAAGCAATGTCTTAAGTTTACAGATTTTTTCAATAAATATATCCACATGAGTCAGTCTATTAAATACTTTATTACAAATTTTTAACATCTTGTTTATTGGTGATATGTTTCTATAATAAGTTGTAAATAATAGATCTAGGTTAGTTATCCTTAACCTACTCTTGGGCACTCTAAAGTAAATAACTCAATTAAACCACAGTTTGTGTACTTAATACTGTTAACAATCAAGTATATGAATATAATGGCCGGACTCTTTCTTCTAGTGGCAAGTGACTGCAACTGAAATGAGTCTAACATTACCCTGTATGAGACCACATATGGATATTTCTTATTTTTCCTTAAATATAGAAATCTTAAAATATATTATATAAATATTGCAGAACAAGTTAGTATTCAATTTAAATAAATGAAAAAAAAAATTAGAAATAGAAAACAAGATTTAAGTAATAAACTTATGTTAAAAACAATTTGAGCCACTTATGGCAGATACTAAACAAAGTAGGTGTACCACAACATTTAATTTCGCTTATAACTGAACTATGCAAACCCACTACTGGAAGAGTTAAAGTGCTTGACACACTCTTAAACGAATTCCACCCAGAACAAGGTGTCAGACAAGGATGTATACTGTTTCCACAATTATTTACTATATATTCTGAGCATATTATGAGAAGAGCGAAGAACGTTTAAGAAATGGGAAAAGGGCATCTCAATAAATGACCAAAAAATAAACAACCCATGTTTTTCAGATGACACAGCCTTCTTGCAAATAGTCAAAAAGAGTTAACTGATCTCATATGACTGGTTGAAAACGAATGCCAAATATTTGGTCTGCAGTTGCAAAGATCATGATAATGGATATACTACATAAAAATCATACACATATAACTGTGTTTGACTGGTTTGAGGTTGTAAGCTCATATTGGACGCAAATCTACAAGCACTACAGGAAGAAATAAAATGTAAATGTGTTCTAGCTAAAGTCACTGTAGGAAAGATGGCCAAAATATGAAAGGACTTTCAAAAATTTCACAAATTCTAAAAATGAGGTTGATCAAGTGCTTAATATTCCCAATACTGACATGTGGATGTGAATCTTGGACCTTACGACAAGCGGAAAGAAGAAAGATAGACATATAGATAGAGAAGAAAAGTAGATTTCAATTTTAAATGAGCTAAAAATCAGCAAATGGTTATCCAGCAAAGTTTTGGATTTGCTCAGAGACAATGAAACCGACGTATCTTCCAGTTCACTTTACCCGAATGCAAAGCGTGTTAGATTAAATAATGAATGAGAAGATTACGAAACACACAACAGTCTGTCCTTAAAAGAAATGATGAGTTTACTGATGGATACGAGTGATAGTGAAGAAGATGACATGGCTCTTCCTGGTTTTCAAAACTCTGTCCATCATTTAATCAGTAAAACTGTCACATAATACTCATTGGAAAAACGCGTGGCAGTTGACGTCGACCCTCTAACATGGTGGAAACTGAATAAGGGAGGGTACGATCTTCTTTTTCATGTAGTTCAGCAATATTTAGTTATATCACCAACGAATATCCCGAGGGAGCGCTTGTTTAGTGGCGCTGGACTTCTTTATACGCCACATCGAAACAGACTTGAAGGAGAAAAGGCGTCAAAGCTTTTATTTCTAAAGTTTAATATTCCTCTATTAAATTTTAATTATTAACAGTTCTCTGTTTTTACTTATTGTTAAAAACAAACTTGAAAAATAAGTAAAAACAGACAATTGTTGTTTTTTAATAAGAGAGCGCAGTATTTTTGTTTAATACAAACACAAAATTAATATAGCTTGTAAAATAAAGTGAGTTTTATTAATAAAAAAACTGATAAGTGAATGGATTTTTAATTTATTAACCTAATCTTCAAGTTATTATTTTTTCTTATATTCATATTCGCAAAACATTCGCACAGATTTTGCGAATGCAAATATGCAAAAATATGCGAATATTCGCGAATGCGAATATTCGTTATATCACTAATAGGCATCACAAGAAGAAGGTTACATTTTCTTCTAATGTCTTCACTTCTCTTTCGATCTGTCAGCGTATTTCCTGTAATTCTTCTTAGTACTCTCATCTCTGCCGTTTCCTCTGCCTTTGCGTATTGGCTGTGTCGGGTCTTGTTTCTGAGGCATATGCCATTATTGGTCTTACACTGGCATTATAAATTCTTGACTTCATCTTAGTGTTAATGTGTCTTTTTCGCCCTAATAGTGTTATTTAATGTAAAATCAATCACAGTATTTTCCAGAAAATCAGTGTGTTTCCTTTCCTCATGGAGCTTGCAATCCTGTCTATAAACCTTCTACAAATATTCGACAAGCTGTTGTTCATGTTTTATCTTACCAAATTTTGCAACTGAATGTCTGACATTAACTCAAGTCTCGTCAAGGTAAATAAATTTTTCTTTTTGTCAGATGTTATTCGGTTTTAATGAAGATGATTATGTCGCCATGGTACTATTTTCGCATTTCCTATTAAAATGAAATAAAATATAAAATTAACAAAAGTTTACCAAATCTATTCACATGAAGAGAAAAAACAACTTTTAAAGCAGAATTTTACAATGTTAAGTTAAATACTGATTGCAAAAACTGATGATATACATTTATTCTACTGTAGTGTTCAGGTGTAATGTATTTTGGGAAATTTGAATTTTTCTTGGAATTTATAATAAAAAGCATTATTTGTGAAAAGTCTGGTATCTGCAGAAACTGCAGTTCTACTACTATGACAATCATCTCACCTTCTTGTAACGATTGTCATAGTATATATTCACACACAAGTTAGTAATGGGTTTAGTGACGATGTTGGACTGTTATTTTTCACCAAATCGAAGTGTGAAGATTATCATTATTCAATGGATCAGTTCTTTTAAAAATTGGCTAAAAAGCTCATACCAATGCTGGAGGAACCATCTCCAATTATTATGGATAATACCTAATACCATAGTTCTTTTGTTTCTAGTTTTGGTATTCTGATTGAAGAAATTTCTTTCTGCAGTAATAAAAAAATCAACAATCAATCAATAAAGATCACGTGAACTATAGAAGACTTACATTACAATTATTAAAATGTAATAGTTATACTTTCTTATACTAATGTTTCCAAATCATTTTAGGAAGAAGAGCTAGCAGATGCCATCTTAGTAGTACTTGCGAATAAACAAGACATACCGGGCTGTATGTCGCTGAAAGAAGTTCATCAAGCCTTAGGCCTCGAAGCATTAAAAAATAGGACGTTCCAAATATTCAAAACATCTGCTACCAAAGGCGAAGGTTTAGATATGGCCATGGAGTGGTTGGCCAACGCTCTGAAGAACCGGAAATAACACTTAGTAATTCCAGTTTTCTAGTCTGTAATACAACACCGCATCCTTGTATAAATTATTTTATAAAGTTTTAAAAATTATTTAATTATTACAGTTTTGTTCAAAATCCGTACGGAATATTATGATCAAAGGAAAATGGAAAAGCTGAAATACATATTAGCTATAAAAATAACTAAATATAAATTGCCATGTAGAGGTGGTTGTTGTATTAAAGGAATTTGGGGCGGTGTTGATTGACAGTGTTGCTATTTATCACACCTTAGCAGTAACCTATTATTGTAGGAAATTGGAAAACGTATTAGTCTTTAATCAAAGTATGTTGTACATAAATTTTGTTTCTAAAATGTTTATATTTCACATTTATTTATATTTTTAATTTAGTGTGTATAATGTATGTTAACACAATTATTTTTATATGTTTTCTTGAATTAAAAACAACACAATTAGATTTGATTCTGATTCAATTTTATGACTCTACTTAGTAATTTTGCAAAATGCAAAAGTGTCTACTGGAGCTTCGTGAGTTAATAAGATAAATATAGTATGGTCTGAAAACTTCTTATAATGATACACTTCTTTGTGAGATTTGCCACTTGAACTAAAAAACTTACGAAGATTGATCATTTGCATTCGTTCTCAACTTTCAACGTTCAAAGGCAAGTCAATAGTACTCATATTGCCACTTTGTACCAGGCTTGTGTCTCAGAATACCGAAGGGTAGTCCTTATGTTCTACTTCTTTTGTTTGTTTTGTGGGTTGTTCTGTATATTTGCTAAACTTTTGTGTGATCTTATCTAAAACGGAATCGGCGTGAAGATTCTAGCTCTGGAGGTAGATTTATATTTGTTCGTGGGGTTTTCAGTCTTTCTAATACTTATCAATGGAGGGGTCCGGCAGTAAAAAATGCTAAGGGGCAATAAAGAGGACTTGAGTTTTGAAGTGTTGAATTTTGAAAAAAAATTCTTATATTTTTCATTAAAAAATATAAGATTATAAAGCATAAAATATTTCAAGTAGTTTAACGTTAACTGTTGCTGACTTAACACTTCTTGGTAGGTACTACGGGTTTATATTTCTATATTTACATTTTTACAACTTTTGAAGATAGGGATAATTTCACAGTTTTGTAAAAGCCTACCGGTTGATTAAAATAACTTTAGTACCGAAAAATCGTATATATCCCCTTGCTAACCCTAGTTACAAGAAAAGTCTCTGTCGTTTAGCAACGTTGTGTGGCCTACCTGAGGAAATATATGAACTATTTCTTTAAAATATTCATTTTGTAAAAGGTAAAGCCAAAGACCAATGATGGTCCAGTTTTTATTTTGTCCGCAGCAATTGCCTGAAATGGCTATTAGTTTTCTGCCACGAATATTATTTTCCTCAAAGTACATTTTGAGATTTCGTCCGACCCTCTTTTAGCAGTCGATTCATCCCACTTAAAAAAGTGACCTCGATCATCAATATATTCTAAATATATCGATATATCAATATATGCTAAATTATAGTATCAGTTTTCTTTTATAGAACATAGGACTAGTGGTAAGCTTTGGTGTGGACAGGGTGTGCTGTAGATTAAAACTTATTGCATGCACATCAGAGCTTAAGTTTGTTTCCTCTGCTGCGTCTCTGACTACCCGTTGAACTGCTTTAGCTTTTCTGTAATTAGTTCTCGTTCAGATTTAATTATATATACTGACGTAAGTTTTCAATAAAAAAATTGAGAAAATCTATATCAGATTTGGAATATTTTTTAGGATGATTTGAATATCAACCTCCTATAGCTGAATTTGGGAGTATTTGATCCAATTTTCGGACTCAGGTTGGTCAATGTCCTTATTTTGCTACATAAATGTATTTTGGTATTGCTACATAAATGTGGTTCTATAGCAGAATTCTACGCGTATCCTGAAAAAAATATAGAACCAACCTGTCAATTCTGGAAGAGCTTCATATAAAAGATAGGCTATAAAAAAAGTAAACCGAGCATATCTAATTTACTTTGGCCACATAGAAGAACGGGGACCATGGAATGATTGGTAGTAGAAGGAAAGGTACAAGGCCGAAGACCAAGAGGAAGATCTTTAACACGATGGGCAGACCAAATTAAGTCTATGGTTTTAAAATCCCTACATGAAGCCGTCCATATGCCACAAGATCGCAGCCAATGGAAATAGTAAGCTAATAATATTTAGAGCATCACCACGCGCTGACAAGGGCTCAAGGAATGAGAGGGAGGAGGATCCAATTTTCAATTGTTTCGCTAGAGTTTCAACTCAACCTCGATTTTTCTGTAAACCATGGATACTTATGAAAGTCATTTTGCATACCTTAAGATCTTTTCCTTGTGATTTTAATGTATTATCAATAGTTTGAGATCTTTTTGACACTACTGCCTTAGTTTTCTTTCTAGTCATATTTGTAGATATCATACAACCTTGAAAGTAAACATTTTGTGTATGAAAATTCATATGCCCCAAAAATTAATAAAAATTGTCTGCAGGTCTTTATTAGATGAAAATAGCTCGCAGAGTTTATTGTGGCAACTACACGGTGGACCTTGTGTTTTTGATAAATCATTTGATAATTTCGCTTACCTCTGTATTGATTATATTCTTTTCCGTGAATTATTTCGTTTTTAATTGCTTACTTAAATTGCGTTTCTTTTTCTAGATTTTGTTTTTGAAACAATAACTTCTTTTTTTTTTGCTTACTTTGTTCATTTAATTCTCTTCCATTTTCTTTTTCTTCTTCCTCCTTTTCTCTTCAGTACTTTTTCCTGGATATGTATAACAAGACATTACTCGAACTCCATGTCCTTTCCAAAGTTTTCTAAAGCACTCAAATAAAGATATAGTGCTGCAGAGTCTTCATTTTTACGTTCATTAAGTAAAAAGTGTTAATTTGTTTTTGCAAAATGAAGGTGATGTAAACAATGTTAAGTACATCCTTTACCATTTTTTACTTGCGAACATTCATTTTAAGCATATAAAGAAATTTAAATTCTTTGTAGAAAGTTGATCGATCTTCATTAAATATTTGCAAATTCATGATCTTTTTCTGAGTCAATCATCGTAGTCTCAGAATTGTCACTATTAAACGCAAAAAAGCTATTTAGATTTGAACAACTTGCATTGTCTTCCGCCATCATGGACCTTGACATTATTTTCATGCTTATGCATATATGCAAGTCCCTTATCCAATTTTAAGAAATTAATTTGGCGCCATCTATTATTGGTAGGATAAACTAAGTGAAATTTTCTGCTTTACCATGTCCCTTACCATCTTTTACATACTATTTCGCAAAAAATCAAAGTGTGTCCCTTACCATTGTTTACTACCGAGCCCTTAATGTTTGCGATAAGATGAGACTTAGTTTTGGTTTTGCCTGGTTCGTATATTGCACATAAATCAAATAACAATTTAAATTGACGAACATTGTTAACAAGAAACAATGACACTGCTTTAAACTTTAAAATATATAAACATGGATTTTGATTAAAAATGATACTTTTTCTAAACTAGAGAAGTACCTTAATAAAAGAGAATTGCTGGAGTCCATTGTTTTACAAATATAATATTATTTACAAACTACTAGATTACAGCTTGTTTTATAAGTAAACCACAATTGTTAGTTATATTTGTCAATCAAACAGTAATGTTTAGCATCCTTTCATAATATTATGTACGGATTTTTTGTTTCGTTTTTGATTTATGTTAAGAAAAATAATTAGTGGCAAGGAATATAAAGTCTTTCATGCTTTACTTTTTAATTCTAAATTGTGATCTAGATAACAGATACCTATTGATTTATTTGAATATTTACTGACGGTTCTACAGCCAAACATTTACCTGTTTAAATTTTGTATTCAGTGCTCAATTTTCAAAAAAGGTTGCAATATAATAAGGTAAAATTGCAAAAAAATTGCAATCTATATAAAACTCTTAATATATGGCATCTTTTGAGATGGATTTCTAGATTTTAGATAAATGGGTCGTTTATCATCTTAAATCTTTCCTCACTGCGACCTGAATGATCTTTTGTGGTGGATTCATTGTGGTTTTTGTTAGCTTGTTCCTGGGTGTCGCTTGACACTCACTTGTTGAGATTTCTTAGCTTTCTTTCGATCGTACTCATCTAAAAATTGCGATCATAACTGAGCATGGAGAGCCCCTCCACAACGAGAACGTCTCAGTTCTCGGAGATGTGCTAAGATGGATGCTCTAAGTTATCTAGCATATTCTATTTGCATAAACGAATGTGTAAAAAGTATATTTGTGTACCGATAAAATATGAATAAGGATGCCGTTTCATTAGAGGGTCATTCTAGTTATACGTTTCCTCTTCAAAATTCGTGTAGTTTTAGTTTTCATGTGGAGGGGGGGGGGGAAGACACTTTCAGACACTTAGGAGTATACTATCAGGATCCAATTACCAATCTTTTAGTACGCATTTTATGTACGTACTTTTTCTAAAGTTCAATTTTCATTGCATCACGTTACTTTTTCCTAGATATTTCTGGTTCTTTGGTGTAAAAAGATCCAATTTCTGATGTACTTAGTAGTTGTTGCCCGTGTAGTTTTACTTTTTTTCCATTATTTGTTTTGATGAGATGTTTTTGGGGTGGTATGTATTACACAGAATGACGGACGATATGGTAGTCAAGATAGCGACAAATCGTCGTTTTGTAGAGGAAGTGTAGGAGGACGACGGAAAACAGAAACAGACAGAATTACCCAAGAAAATAGAACAAGAAGATGTATTATGAAGAGAGTTTCTATAGGAAACTAATAGCACTAACACTTCGAAGATACACTACTGAAAAATGACCGAAATTCCAATCGTTTAGGCGGTCTGAGAAGTCTAGTAACTCCATACGAATATAGGTTATTTCGCGCAGCTCATCATAAATTATGTCTTAAGGTAGTATATAAGACATACACATAGTGCATAAATAAAATCTTCCTTTCCATCTGAGGTTCCATTTGAAACCAGTTTTCTCAGGATTATACTTATGGAAATTATTAGTAGCAACTTTTCTGTTCTAAAAAGAATCGGTCGTCCAAGTTTAACAATGTCTAAAAAAAGTATTTGGCAGCTATTATTGAAACGATGCAACTTTTTACAGAAACAAAAAAAACAGAAATACTAAATATAACATGAAAAAATTTGTTTCGAAAGTTTTTTTACCTGACACATCTCTTACAATCTCTATGGAAATATCGTCACAAACATGATAAATTATATCATTATTTAATGTTTCAGAATTTCAAATGAGAATTCTTTGAATAAGCACATTTATTTAATGAATACATATTAATCTCTGTTTTAATTTTTATCAAGCAATATTCTTCAAGTTCGTTTGAGTTTGAAAATCAATATCGAAATCGAACTTAATTGATCTTATTTGCAGCTGTTATAAATGGTCGGTTTGTTGTAAATCTAAACTATCTCGAAAGTTATTCATACAAGAAGTTCTTCTTTCTTGACTTCTTCTAACTTATATTTTAACTTCCAGTATGGTTCGTAGTGGCGATATTTAGGTCTTCTTACAACTTGTCCAAAGTTTTTTAGAAAGAGTCTTTATTAAATTTAGTGATTTATATTTAGTTAAGATGTCTCTATCAAATTTATTAAGACATTGCTCATTATTCTCAGACATATTAACTATTTAGTAATCGTAACGCAATATATAGTTAAGCTTTATCTTCTGATATATCAACTTTGCATGAGCATTTGCATAACAAATTTTGTTAAACACAATTCTAATTGTCCTTGCGCCAGTTTGTTTTTCCCACCACATTGAAAAGAGACGAAAAAACCAAAAAACTATGTCGAACTTATGTATATTCTTATTGTATTGTAGTATATTCTTTACTATAAAGATTGATTTTAACCAACGTTTTGATAGAATAAATATTAACCCTAGATCAAGGCATTTTGCACCATAGTGAACATGAAAATTTCCTTTTTTTTTCTTTTTATTTCCACTTCCTTGATAAATAGGCACCTGCGGATGCCTATGAATCTGATGTCTTAGTCTGATCTGATCTTAGTCTCAATGTACTTTTTCAGCCTTTTGGTGGTTTTTCTCGTAATATTTTTATTAGTCTGTGCTCTCCCATTTCAGTTACGTGGCTGTTCCAGCCCTATTTTTTGTCTACTACCCATTCATTTATTTTTTTACCGTTGTAGGTCCTATAGTATTTTTACTGTAATATCTATTTGACGCAGTTCCGGGAATTAATCTTCTTTCTTCTTAGTATCGGATCTTGCCTCTTCAGTATTTCGACCTTGTTATTCTAGCTTAATTTATCTGTTTCTTGTACAATTTTCGCTTTTGTATTACCATAGTAGTTAGTTTCTCATCAGTATTCTTAAGTAGGAGTATGCCACTTTTTGAAGATGCTTTGTAATAGCACGATATTGCTGCAGAATAAGAAAATTTTCCAAATGGCGTCTGAGGAAGGATGTGCGTAAAAATGTTAATGAAAACAATGGATAAAGGATCTCAAAAATTAAATGAGCCTGAAACTTTGTGGATATTAATAATCTTATCTTTTTCTTTATTTTTTCTTAATCTTATTAATGATGGCGAATCTCTTACACAATTGCTTAAACTTTCATAGCCATAGGCTACCTCTTCCGTGTCTTCCCATAATTTAGCTTTTAAGTACCAACCAAAATCTTTTACTCAGGATATGTGGTTGAAATAAGCGGTTTTTCTTGTTTGTAAGTTGATAGCAAGTATTATCTCTTATCGTTTCGGTACTCAAATCGAAGAGTTTCTAAATAATCAATAATTTGGTTTGACGTTTTTTATTTTAAATATATATTGAGTAATAACCGAATTCACTTCATTTATTTCATTCTTACGGTATCATCGACTTAATACATACTATTATAGAGAAAGTGCTCGTTCATTTTAATACATTTGTTCGCACTTTCCAAGGAATTTTTGTGGTATAAAGTTGAAAGAGAGGAAAGACAAATACTCTTATTTATAGAATCTAAATTTTATTAGAGTCACGTGAAGTCATCAATAATAAGTCATTGGTTTCATCGTAGTATATCTACTTGAATTCTTCAACGCGAAATCGAGAAAGACAGAAATTATTGTAAAATGTCTGTGTTCAACATCGGATTTGTATAAGTCTAATGAAAATGATAAGTTCAGCAGATATGTGTGACTATTTATCATTGTATCAAAATTATTAAAGTCATCAAAAACATTGTAAAAAACCTTTTAAAATTGATAGGTACCTTTTGTTTAGGTCTTATTCTTGCCTAATTGGTGGACAGTATTTGCTGCTCTTACAGCCATTTATGTATCAAATTTTAATGACCAGTTTTTGCAAACTAGATATATTTGCAAACGGATTCAGATTGCTTTTATCTATAAGCATTCCAAAAGTTTCATATTTCATAAATTATATATACATATATTTTCACCTGTGTTTTAAGTTGTGCGTCATAAGTTTATTTTCGAAATAAATATCTTTTGTACATTTCAATAAAACGTAAATGTTCATAGTATAGTTTGCTTTGAAATCCTCAAAAAAAAAGACTTTTATCCCAAAACTAAATTACATTGCATAATACAGATGATTTTTTAAATCGACTTTGAACAACTTTCATATACTTTGAATGCTGGTCAATATATAACCTAGACCCAGACCTTGATATAAGAATAAGGAGGGAACTGGCAAGGGCACCTTACTAAACGACTTCGGTCTCAAAATAACAACCAAGCTCAGAGTTATCAAATGCTACGTGCACTCATCTTTTTGTACAGACTAGAGGCTTGGATCATGAAAGTCGGTACAATGAACCGCCTTAAAGCTTTCGAAATGTGAATATACTGACACATGCTTAGAATATCCTGGGTGGATCACGTCATAAATGACGAATTTTTGAGAATAAATGGAAAAAAGATTCCATTGCAGGATCACTACGTTTATAACGTAGTTAATCAAATTCACATTTTTACATACATTTAAAATTAGAACACATTGATAATAGGTTGCCATTCAAAAAGAGGCCGCAAATATTTTTAATTCAATTAATGGTAATTATACAGCTATGAGGTATGGCCACTGAAAGAAAGAACACTGGCAACGCTGAAAATGACTGAAATGGATTTTTGGAGAAGAGCCACAGGAAGATCTAGAAGAGAAAAGATTACCAACGAACGCATTAGAGAAATAATGGGAATCAAACGAACAATCACGGATGACCTAACAACAAAACAACTTATCTGGTTCGGACACATACAAAGAATGGATGAATAACGAATACCAAAAGAAATATTAAAATGGCAAATAAATAAAGAACAGAGAGAGGGCCATAGAAGAAGACCTATGGAACAACCGGACTAAGTAGCAATTGGAAATCGGAGAACGTTATAAACCGACAAGTAATAGTATTAATGGACATTAATTTTTGACAAAAATTTTATTTCGTTCATTTATTTTTTAAATAAAATACGCTGCTCATGACGCATATGCATGTTTTTATATCGAATTAAAGCTGATTTTTTCTTAATATGATGATATGTTTGGCTAAGAAAAAATGATCAAAAATTAAGTTTGTCAGCTGTTAAAACGCGAGATATCAAACAAAATAAAAAAACTCTTTTTAGTCAACAAAGAAAGATATATTAGTATGTTTAAGAGTACTTGAAACCAGAGATATGCCGATGTCCCGAGGACTTCCGCAGATATGCCAATGTAAGATATTATGATATTATTATCCAGCCTCAAAAGTCTTTTTAGCGTTATATATATATATATATATATATATATATATATATATATATATATATATATATATATATAAAGTAGTTAGGTATTATTGACTGACACGTTATGTAAAATAAAGTTTTATTTTGAGGATGCAGTCATTTAAGTAGGGCAGGATAAGTTAAACTCTTTGTTCTTAAATCAAGCTTTCGCAAAATTTATTTGCTTCATCAGGATATGCTAAAATAAGTTATGGTAAATACAATGAAATTAGAATTAAAAAACATTGTATAAAACTAATATAAAAACTTACAACATGAGGTTAAACCATTAAATTATTAAATTCACAAAACATTCTTAATTTATCTAAATTATAATTACATAAATTATAAATTGTACTTACATAAAAATATAATTTAGATAAATTAAGAATGTTTTGTGAATTTAATAATTTAATGGTTTAACCTCATGTTGTAAGTTTTTATATTAGTTTTATACAATGTTTTTTAATTCTAATTTCATTGTATTTACCATAACATATTTTAGCATATCCTGATGAAGCAAATAAATTTTGCGAAAGCTTGATTTAAGAACAAAGAGTATATATATATATATATATATATATATATATATATATATATAAACCAACAGTAACCGGTATAAATATAATAACAATCAATCTAAAAGAAAAAAAAACTCAGATCACTACCAAAGGACAATTGATGAAAATGGCCAAAATGACCAAATTGACAGCTCTCCATTAATGGAAATCATCCTTGATAGTACCAAAGAAAAATTAGAGGCCCGCAACAACAAAATGAATATAGTAAACTGTTTGATAAAACTAAAATATTGCTAAACAAAGAAGGAAAATGAAAGTAGCAACACACAGAGAATACAATACACAATACTGTTTAAGACAATAAGGAAAAGTATTAAGGAAGACATAAAATGCAATCGAAAACAGGAAAAAATACAAGAAAAGGATTAATTATTGCAAATAAGCAAATCGTTGCTCTAACATACAAAAAAACCAGAATTACAGACAGATATGAAATAATACAACTCGTGACTAAATTCTACAGGGAACCATAAAAAGTCCCTTACATATTTAAAGAAGTAATAAGTAACCAAGGAAATATACCAGAAGTCCTTCTGGAAGATGTAGAATCGACAATTACAATAATGAAAAGCGGTAAAGCAGCTGGAATAGATAGCATAACAGTGAAACTGCTTAAATACGCTGGCAAAAAGACCTGGAAAATCTTAGCAGACATATTTACGAACTGTTAAAGATGCATATCTGGGCCATATAATGCGCAATGAACAACGATATGACCTACTTCGGACCATACTTCAAGGTAAGGAGCATGGGAAAAGAGGTCCAGGACGGAGAAGAATATCCTGGCTGCATAACCTGCGAAAGTGGTTTAACTTAACCACTACCGGACTTTTCAGGGCAGCAGTCAACAAAGTCAGAATAGCTATGTTAGTGTCCAACATCCGTAACGGATAGGCACCATAAGAAAGATGCATACCAGACCACTGAAATACAGCAAACATAGAATTCTTATTCATAAGAAAGATAGCAAAGAGGATATCAAAAACTATACACCTATAGTTCTACTAACAATCATATATAAGATATTCACAAAGATCATCAACAACAGATTAACAAAACAAATGCATTAGATGCTGCACAGCCAAGGGAGCAAGCTGGCTTCAAAAGTTGATTTAGTACCATGGATCATATCCATACGCTTCGAAAACTAATGAGTAGAGTTAAAGAATATGAATTCACATATTTCGAGAAGGCTTTCGATTCTATATATCCTAAGGAAATAATAAAAGTTTTGACCATTCAAGGCATTGACAAACCGTACATAGAAACTTTAGCAAATATATACAGACAAGCATAAGATAAGATAAAAATGTATGAAACATTCCAGAAGAAGGAGACGCAATATCACCAAAGCTCTTCACTGCAACTCTAGATAGTATATTCAGCAAAATGAATCGGCAGAACAAAGGAATATCCATTGATGTAGAATACCTCAGCCAAGATTTGCAGACGACATCGTTCTGATTGCAAATAATCCTGCAGGACTACAAGAACTTATAAGCTACCTAAATGCAGTTGGCCTAAAAATGAACTTGACAAAAACAAAAATCATGTAAAAGAAGCTAGTGGATGTCCAAGATTTAATAATAAACAAAACTGTACTTGAGACAGTAGATGTATATGTATACCTGGGAAAATTAATACATAAATCTGGCTTCCTACTTCCAGAAATCAATAGGAGAATGAAACTGGCTTATGCATTTTTGGTAGAAATGTAGTTATATTCAAATTGAAGATGCCAATCAATCCACCTGAAGAAAAAAGCATTCGATCAGTGTGTATTACCAATCATGACATACGGCTGTGAAACTTGGACAATAAAGAAAGAGATAATATCGAAACTCAAAGTCAGTCAAAGGTCAATGGAGCGATGTATGCTAGGTGTAACAAAGAGAGATCGAAAAAGAATACAATGTATCAGACAGAAAACCAAGATAACTGATGTAATTAGATTAATTTCACAAAATTAAATCTTTAAAATGGCAGTGGGCGGGACATTTAGAGAGAAGAACTGACAATAGGTGGTCCACTAGAATTACACAGTGGTATCCAAGAAGACGTCCAAAATGAAGATGGGACTATAACATAAGGAAACAAGCAGGTACAACATGGCACAGAAAAGCGAATTTTAGACGATCATGGGCGGAAATTAAGAATGATTATGTAAGGGAGGTTGGCTGCATCATAATCGGTAGAATATGCTGAGAATAATGATGATGTTTAGTCAACGCAATGACAAAATATTTGAGACTTCATTTGGTCTATACTTGACCAATTTACTAGGTTCATGTTACGATGCCTTTGTTATAATATCTATATTTAACAACAATCTTCTTTTTCAGCGGTCTTATGCATTTACAAGTGGGGAGTGGTAGGAACACTGAGACGCAAAATCTTCGATGACAATAACTTTTTTATTAAATGCTACTTTAAAATTATATTGTAAACTTATATTGTACCTCTATATTTGGTATATAAACAGGAATTGAAAAATCATGTCGTTTTTTGATAAAAACACCTCAAAAATATTAAAACTAAAAATTACCAAATGTTTCTCTGTTCTTTTCAATGTGGGAACACTGAGACGCAACAATTAATTCAAACAAAGTTTAATTCAAATTTTAAAAGCGAACTTTGGCGCTATGTTAATTATTGCATTACAGAGGGCGGCAAAATAATTTTAATGTCTCTTTTTTATACATGTGAGAGATCTGGGACAACTGGAAAAAAGAACCTGTGTTCACATTTAGCGATTTTTCTTAAAAACGATTATTTCAAAATCATTTTCTTTTGTTTGAGACAAGACTTTGCCTACATAGTATGTCTTTTGCTTAGAGTTAAATTCAACAAGCACATAATTCCCATTATTGGGACAGTGATCAAGATCTTCGAAACTAATTGGTTCGGGATCTTCACCAAATAAATCCTCTCCGCTGGAATCTTGTAACTGCATCTTATTTTCAACTTGCTTATCAGAATTACTATTTAATACGCGCCTAGTTACTTTTTTCTGTTTTGGTGTTTTTTCTTTAGATTTAATCAGTTTCATTTTTTCCGGGGTATCAGTATTACTTGGAGCTAGATTTTCTACATCTAGAAATTCATTTATATCTCCAGCAGCAGTTTTAACTGCAATAAGTGGCCAGCATTATAGAAAGTTTGAAGTGGTTTTAATAAGCCTATGTTCAACGGCTGTAATCTGTTCGTACAGTGTAGCGGTATATTAGGATTGTAACGCCATTATTTTTACATAAATCGATTGCCTCAATCGATAAATGACTTTGATGATTTTCTATTAGCAATAAATGTTTTTTTTTTGTACTACCGGTGTGTTTAATAAAATGCTTAACAACTTGGACAAAGCACTCTGTATTCATCCATCCTATTTTTGAAGCTAATCACCAAAGTTCCAGGGGGCGATCCGTTTATCATATAATCTGTACGTGTACTCTCGTGTAAAAAGTGTACTCTCGGGAATACCAGAGAAGAAGGAATAGCTGCTCTAGATACTCCAATAATGCAGCATGTTGTTACGAGCGTTCCAAGTTCGCCACTTGTAGTCTTACTAACCTGTCGTATACCTCTTTCTGCAAACACTTTTTTGGGACTTTTGAACGGTAACGGTTCCTGTCTTTTCTAAAGTATATATGGAACTATCATCTCCAAACACCGGGAAATGTTTTAAGACAGTTTTAGGTTTACTGAAAAACATTTCAACATTAAATTTATTGAAACCGGTTGCCCTTGCAAGACTACAACCTTCTGTGGTTCGGAGGGATAAATTATTGGAATGACTTTTCTGAAATCCTTTCATCCAGATAAGTGAAGCAATTTTTGTTGTATGCCAGTTTACTGGAACCACTATATTATTATTGTAAGCTGCGGCTTCATATGACACTTTTCGGGTATCTTCTGTTGATAGACCATAAAGCATTTTAGAACATTTAATTATATATTCGCACAAGTCGTTCTACTGTTCGATAGTAAAAAATTGTTTTACTTTGTAATTAGGACATAAACGAACGTTCTCGTCTTGTTGATGTTTTTTACATATCTATGGACTGTTTGGTAAGAAAGTCTTTTCATTTGTGCTGCAGATCTTCAGAGAATCTTCCTACTTTACGATTTGTTATATTTTTTCTTTCTGCAACAGAAATTATTTAGCAAATAATTGGGCTTAAACAACTATAACGCAAGTGAGACAGTAAAGGAACAGTGAGACACGTCTCATTGTTCCATAAAAATTTGTTAATAAAAGTCGATTAAAAAAGCTAATAAAATGTATACAAAAATCGTTTGTTTTAATTGTCTTGTAAAATGGTTTAAAAGTTAAAATAACGTACCTTGTCTAAAAAACTTCAATTTCCGTGAAAACACCAGCCATGTAGATACGGTATATTTACTACGATGCACTTATTTTAAATGACCAGCGATAACGGTTTCTTGTTTGCTTCACTTCAAGGTGGTAATAGGCATGTTCGTTTAGTTCTACCGGATAATACCGAAAGTAGTAAGCTCTACCGAGTTTGCCACAGTATTCTGACCGTCTCACTGTACCTATCTTTCCCTTACGTCTCATATAAACAATAAACGACTAGAATCTGATGAAAAGGTAGTATAAAAAACCAGATATTTTACTGAAATTATTTATTTCCAACAAAACGGAACTACTAACAAAATGATTTTAACAATCCGTCACTTAAAATGTTTGACATGCTCCTTTAATTAACCACCGAATTTGTAAATAAATTCTATAATAATAACAAATACAGGAACTGTAATACAATCATTTGGCACCACTTTTGTATAACTGAATTGGACAGTAATGGAAGTAATCACTTATATTTTGTAAAATGGACGGTTCTATTATAAACTTTTTACCAATATACGAGTAGAAAATATTTGCAGCTTAAGATGTAGTATTATATACAATTTAAGTTCTGTTCATATTAAGGATAGTAGCTTTTGATGTGTCAACATAAACCTTTTTAATTTTTAAAGAATATAATGAACAACATCACCATTCCTACATCCCTAAAGTAGAATCTTGATCTTCTTAAGTCTATACTCCATTGATTACTCCATTGATGAAAATAATTTGCCTATACTCCATTGATTTTTCACTCAATAAATTGATAATAGATGATTATTGTACCATAGATGGAACATAAACCGGCCGCTTTGTTGTTGTTTTTTTTTTAATTTTGCTACTATCCTAGTAAAGATTTTGTATAGATGATTCAAGAGAGTAATAGAACTATAGTTCGCAAGATTATATCTTTGTTTAAGCAAAGTTAATAATTTTACTATTTTGTGTACAATAGAATGCTTCTTGCACACCTTAATATGCTTTTCTATAACGAAATGCGAAAATCATTGGCCAATTTTCCATGTAATTTTAAAGCTTGAATTTGGGACATAACTACACAAGATGATTCGTCCTTATAAGCCGTGGCATGAAGTATGTCTTTCCCACGTTTCTGCTGCGACTGGGTCACATAATAGTTGAAAGAGAGGCGGTAACGTTAGAAAACGGTTTCCAAAAAAGGTCCAAATTAATGATATTAATATCAAATCACTCCGAAAGTCCCAGGCCTACAACATAAATAGAGTGAACGAATGGTAAAACGGACGAAATGGTAAATGTAAAATGGGAAACTGCCAAAAATTTACAATAAAAACTTAATGGCATGATATCCGGCGAATATACGCCAGTAAAACAGGTATCAGAAATCCTTAAACGACTTAAGAAAGTTATTAGCTTTTATCAAGAACACAGAACTTCTTAGTTGGGTTTAGTTAAAGGACAGAGTTGGCTGCAAAGTAGTGTATCATCTGATTTTGGAAGGGGAAGTCCTGGGCATGGTGTATAAATGGCGCTAATAATAAAAAATGTAAGTTTAATATAGAAAGCACTAACATTAAAACGATTGTCAAAATTTAAGTTCAATCGGATCATCGGTTTATTATAAACCGTGACGTATAATACGTCACAGTGGTTTAATTATAGTATAAGTAACAAATATAGTAAAAACACTTTAAAAGCGGAACGCTTTAATCCCCAATCTGTTTACATCGACACAACCGGTTCGCAGACTTGAATTGGTCTGTGCAAAACATTTTGAGTTGGGAAGCAGACTAGAGTGTATTTGGCGAAATTTAATTGTTTTGAATAGTGATTTAACAGTTCGTTGTGAAAGTGTTGTTTGCTGTAATTTAATTATTTTGAATAGTGATGTGATGTCCGTGGGACTATGTGGTTAAAAAAATTGTCGTTGAAAATAACGGGTTTGTAGAAAGTGCCAGAGCCGGTGTGAATGTAATTCCTCAAAAAAAGTATCCGTAAAGAAGATTCGAATACTTTTAAATGCTGAAACATAGCAAGTATATTTTAAAGTGTACAAAAATCTACATAAAATATTCGGTTTCGATGACAAACTGTTGACACAAGCAACTTCTGATTTAACAGAAATTTAACTTTCGACTGTATACAAAATAGTTAAAAATGAGTATTATAGCAAGAAGCAATGTGACTACAAATTTTCAAGACCTAAAGATAGCTACATAAACAGCTCACTAAGATACCAAATACCTCTTCAAAAAAGCTGAACCACAAAGCTTTTTAATGCAAAATTATTTGTATTTCGCAGATTTTTATACAAAAAACATCTTATTAAAGTTCTATACATGCAGCAATTTAACATAAAACGGTATGTGGCACTCCGGGAGTGACCGAGGAGAAGAAGAATAGCTTTCTTATCGTCTAAGCAGGAAACGATGGTTTTTAATTTAATTTAATTCAATTCCATTTGATTCGATTCGATTGTTCGATTCAATTTGATTCGATCCGATTTTACGATTTGCTTTTTCCGAAATAATATACAGTAGCACTATTGCCGATACAGAATATGCTTCCGGCATCTCCTATTTGAAAGCATAACAATCCCATATTAAATATGATTTGTGTACTACACACCTTTCAAGCCCAATATAGCGTTATTGAAGTGTTTGACTAACGATATTGTAAAAAATGGTACAAATAAAATAGATAAAGTCTATCGCAACGATAATAAAAGAACATGAATTGCTTCCCCAAACACTGTATTCTTCAGATCTGGTCCACAGCTATTACCTGCTGTTTTCCCTTAAAATATTCCACAGAGAAATAGTTAAGTAATGGGGTTATTAAGGAAATTACGACACGGTCTAATTTTACCTTAAAGTTTTATTACAACTTGGGCTCAGGACTTGAATTAAGTGTGGCAATCAATAATAAAGTAAATATATGTAGCTAAAATAGTAGTGATGTAGGAAAAATATCCTCAAATATAAACAAAGCTTTATACACGACAAATACGTTATTCACGGTAGAAAAATACGATAATAAGATAATTTTATTCATACAGTAAATCACCATAAAATATTCCCAGCTAAGAAAAAGCGCGCAAAATATATGTACACCTCATGATAATCTTTCCATATTCATTAGGGCATGATATTATGACTAAGAAGATAAGATATTGCGCATAAGTCGTGACGTCATTGGAGAGTTGCACGTTCGAAATGTCAGTTTTTTATTTTTTATTATTGAGTTAATGCCTCGACAACTATGATCATTGGCATGGTACAGTCAAGTACCTAGTGCAGTGTGTGTGTGTGTGTAGAGTAAGTGTCTCTGGAATGGTGGAGGAATTCACCAGGGCAAAGACAGGCGAAACAGTTCATTAGAGAACATTCGCCAAAATTTACGGCAGACCTAATTAGCAAAGATAGAAAAACAGTCAAAGCCATAGTAGGTCTTCTAACAGGACACTGTAAGCTGAATAGGCACTTGAAGCTAATGGGATTATCAGATGATGACCTGTGCAGATTCTGTCACCTCGAAGAGGTGACCACCTCTCTTAATCTAATCTAATCTAAGTGTCTCGATACTTAGCAAAGTCGACGTCATTGTCTTTGCTAAGAGACGCTAATTGTATCCGAACATCTGCGGCCCCTCCGGTGAGTACCGATCGCACAAGGATAGAAATTATTTTCATTCATTAATTTTTAATAAACGAAAATTTCTCTACCCAGATGAGATTTGAACTCACGACCTTTAGGTTTAAAGGTAGGCGCTCTTACCACTGAGCCACAGAGGGGGTAAATGTCAGTTTTTGTATGTGTCAATAAATAATCTTTAATAAATAAATAGTTTGGAGATATCCTTATGTGTAAGATTATTGTAATTATTAAACTTCTTAACTTATTTTCGTCTAGTAATTTCATCACAGAATGCATACAAATCCCATTTAACTTTAACAAGAATTCAAATTCTACTCTCAAATGACGGCATGCGCAAACACGGCCGATTTTGTGCTATAGGAAGATCCTATCTTATTAGTCATAGTATCATGCATTAGGGGAAGGCTAGTAAAATAGTGATATAGTGAGTACTAGGCGAGTCGTAATTCGAGACAGGCTATAACTTGCGATTATAGTTTCAATATCAGTGTAACTGTTTAGGTGCGCTTTTTCTTGGTTGTGAACACATTACACATATTTGCAGTACGTGAATATTAGTTATAGTAAGGAGCACAATTTCGAATGTTTCCGCAACTATATTAAATAACTTCCATTACTTTTCCAACCCTTACACAGAACACAACAATTTCAAAGCTATAACAATTTGAGCTGATATATACATGTGATAAACAATGTTAATATATATTTACATGTTTCTACTCTAATGAAAAAAATTATTATATAAAATCTATTTGAAAATGTGATATATACTGTAAGAATCGATAAATATTATTTATACAATATTATAATTCGTATTTTACACCATTATAAATTAACAAATAATTTATAATTATCACAATCAAAACAATGATCATTCCTTATCCATGAACATCTAGATTTCACTACCAATATTTGTCTCATTATTATTATAGTTATTTTTTTTGTTAGCCCCAATATAATCTATTTAGATCCAAGCATCACTATCGATTACTTTTTTTAGTAGTATGGCAATAGTTGACGTTAACATGAAAATTATTTTAAGTTGGTAAAATAGATACCTGCCGATGATTGGTAACATAAAACAGTTAAAATACATTATGAATTTACAAATCTCACTAAGCTTATGGTACATTTAAATCTTAACATTACTACTCTGAAAAAGTATGGACATATTAACTTTTGCTATACCACTACAGATTTGATAAACTGAAAATTGAGCTTATATTTGTATACGTCAGCAAAAATATATATTCCGAAAAAAAAATCTTGACAATATTAATTGGTTTTCTGTTACATTTTATACATAAACTGCACAATATTATGCAATACTATAGTTTACATATCAGACGTAAAAAAGCAAAACCCCATAAGTCACATGGTTTACGATTTTGAGATTTATATTTTTCTGCCGTTATATAAAGGGCTACCAATTACTGTATAGCTTCAATATATCGACATCTTACATAAAATATTCTGGATACAGAACAAGCTCTAGATGCAAACTCGACATGTCTACATCAACCCATAACAATGGAGTTGGCTGTAACACATGCCTAAGGTACATGTCAGACTCAAAGAAGGCATGGTTTAACAGTTAATGCATGTAGACAAGATTTTATGGACATTTTACTAGCGAAAAAGAGACAGAATTTTAAATATTACCCAAGAGGTTCAAAGAAACTAACGAGATCCTGAAATAACGTCGTGTAGGAGACAGAGCAAAAGGAAAAAGATCTAACCTTGCGAAAGCTCTGGAAAATGTTTAATAATACCCTAAGAAACCTAAAGGTCAGGGAATCGTTTTCAGATACATTTTCACGCGATGATATAATGTTGGTTTTGGTACCCCAAAAACTAAATGTTCCACGTGCCTGTAATGTAAAGATAAACTAAAAAGACCTTAGATGATGGCACAAAAAATTAGATAATGGTTCATCAGCGTTTTCACAAAAGTCGAGCTAAGTGTTTTTATGAGCTTCTGAGAGAAAACCAAGGTCATGATGACGATTATTCAGTTTTTATTGCCAAAAAACAGGTTGGGGGGTCGATACCCAAGTTCTTGAAAAAAATATGAAACATTATCCTTTTTCAAGAAAGCCTTTGATGAAATTTCTACTGCATCTACGTCAAAATAAGTTAGTTGCCTTACATCGCAAGATGTTTTAAGGGAGTAGGAAGCAGACAACAAAATTGAAAAATTCTCGTTGGTAGCCATTTCGATATTTTAATATTTTTTATGTTTTCATATTATTGTTGTATGCTAATGACCACACGTATTTTTTTTTTAATAAAAAATATTAAAAATATTAAGATTTTGCGGTCAAAATAAGCCACATCCAAGCAAATAGCACGCGAAACCCAACATGTCCATATTTCATTTAAAAGAAACTCCGATGCAATATATTTATTGGCACTATTTATTAGGTGTAGAAATAGCCAAACAAAAATAATATCCTTTAATTCAGGTTATTTCAAACAGAAATAAAGTTTTTTCAGATTGACTTAAAATTCGTTTTTAATTTTTTAATTTAATAAGAAGATTTAATAATATAGCCATATAAACATGTTACAGGAACTAGGATACCTACACAATTTTCGGAGATAGAATAAAGTGGAATTCGAGATGCATTTCCTACAATAACTTTTTCTACAATTAGCAACTAGATTATTCTTGAAAATGCCATTCCTCTCAAACTCAATACATTCTAAAACAATTTTTTTCTTACCTTTTGATTTATTTGGTTTATCTTAATATTTACCATACAAATGTTAAACAACATAACTAAGCGAGTATTGTACAATTGACTTGACTATTGAGGTTATTTGTACTTTTTTGAAAATGATTTCAAAACTGGAAGACCGGAAGTCGAAATGTAAAAAACAGGTAATTTTAAATACAATTATTGTGGCTTATTTTCAAATATAATATATATATATATATATATATATATATATATATATATATATATATATATATATATATATATATATAAAGTGATAAATGTTAAACATGTCACCCTTCAACAACTTCGGATCATGTTAAAAACAACCAAACAAATGTCCGTGAATGATAAAACATTTAAATTATTGCACAGTAAATCTAAGACTAGTTGAAAATAAATATCACATAATATCAATTCCTTTGCCCTATATTCTGATTTTATTGACACCAGCGATATACGCTTTCTGAAAAATAAACTAGATAGTGATTAACTTTATCCATCACTAACGAATTTTTAAAATCATAATTTTTTAAGTTTTTTGTGAATAAAAAGAATAAGTATATACTGTCAATATTATCGACAATTATTGCACAATAATTATTTTATGTACTTAGATACTAAAATATTATTATGTAATATGCTTAGTTCACGACCGAAAAAATGATGTTATGTATACCAAACAGGGTTTTTTAGCTCGATAACTTGGCCCAGCGATGCTCCAACTTCTTTAACGATCTAAAAAATAAGTTATATCAAGGCCGCAAAGTAGACATCCGTAGCACAATTCGACCAATTTCGCCACGGCTACAGCGGAGGTATGAGCCGGTGCGTTATCACAGTGGAAGGGTACTTTTTTTTGCCAAATTGGGGTAGTTTTTCTGCAATTTGACGTTAAATCGGCCCAATAATGCGGCATAGTAGAGCTCTGTGATCTTTTTGTCTTTTTCCAGGTAGTCGATGTACCTCATCATTGTAAATCCCAGAAAATGGTGGCCATCACCTTTCCGGCCGATGTACCAGCCTTCACCTTCTGAGCACGTTCGCCGGGTGATCCACTGTTTCCACTATTCTTTGGTATCTGGTGTGTACCAGTGGATTTATGTTTCGTGAACGGTTACGAAACGACGTAGAAACTCCTTCGGAAGACGCTTAAATAGCGTCAAATACTTCTCTGAAGTGATCTCAAGGTTGCACTTGTTCAGAGTGAGCAATAGCGGCAACCATGCCCAAAATTTCATGAAGGTTATGACATACGCAGTCTTTTGAGATGCCTACTGTCTCAGCTATCTCGTGCACCTTTAGTCGGCTTTCTGCCAATACGAGATCGTGGAATTTTGTCAGGTTATTCCCGGTGGTAAGCATTTTCAGGGCACCGAAATACACGCTAGTAGATTTCTGTTGAGACAGTGTCGCCATCGAGCGGTGAGGTTAAGTACTTATCGGACCGCCATCTTACGTTCCTATTGCGTATTTGATAAGCAAAAAGAACAAAATGCACATAGAGGGGCGAATGGTTATCAAACAATGTGTAATTACAAAAATGTCTTAAAGGATGAAAAATAACTAAGTAAAAATACTGAACTAGAAATAACCTTAAAGTTTTCCTTAGAGACTGCACAATAGTAGTTATACTATGATAAATAATAATCAATTTTTAAAACAATAAAATCTTCATGTTTACTGTCACTGCCAAAACAATATTGAACAAATATTGTACAATATTACTCACATATATGATGTAATATTTATCTAATTGCATAGATTTTTTCTTCCTGATCTTAATAGATTTTTTGTTTTATTTTCATACACCTGCCCCTATGTGTTTAACTAAGTCATTGTACAATTTCTTCCAGAAATGACCCTGATAACAATATCCTACTGATGATTTAACTCGAGCAGTTCCCACCATACCTTCTTCTTCAGTACTATTAATGTGTTCATTCCACCCTTTTCATTTATCAGTTAATCCAATTGTTCCTATGTTCGACCATCGAAGATACTAGATTATTCGAAGGTTTAATATGATTGCATAGCAAATATCAAAATCAGTTTGATATGTACAATATACTGCACAATCTGTCTTGACGATTTATTAACGATTAGTTTTATTTAACAATATATTAAATGCACAAGATTTTCTTTAATGTATGTCTGTATGCAGTGCATTATAGCTTGTCTATATACAACTCAGTCGCAAAGATATGCTCTTTTGAATCTATACATTAGTATAAAGTAATAGTTTCACGATGGAACCATTCTAATCTGAACTTAAAGAATACATTCTATATTAGAAAAAGTGTGAAATTCGACAGTGTACATGAGCACTAATATGAGCTTCTCGAGAAAGAATAATCTGAATAAAGATCCAAGAACCTTGTATATAGGAAACAATATAATAGAAAAATACATACTACCACTCGCAGCAAACCTACCATTAGCAGATGTAGCAGGTTCTATATCTGCTGGAACATAAGCAACAAATTTACCAAATGTAAAGAAATGAACCTTAAGATCAGTGGTAGAGTTTTACTATACGGCTAAAACCAGAGTTGATCTGAATTGACAAAGAAAATGAACAAAATTTTTAATAGACTAGTAAGGACTTTTAATTTAAAACATTTTATATAATTAAAGAACAGTTAATGTTTAATTAAATTATATGTAGACTAATTTTAATAACATATATAAGAAAAAAATGTTTGGTAAAACCCTATAAAGATTAAATCAATTCCTTATCATAGAATAATATTGATAAAACATTATACAAAAAAATCACATTTTCAAATAAGAAATATTCAAATTATTTAAAAGGCCGAAAATTCGTTTAGCTGATGGTGCAATCCAGTTCGCCGTGTTTTGGTAAGCCTTCTAGAGTGACAGCTACAGCTCGTGTCATATACGTCATAGTTCCGTAACAGCCACTTGGAGCGCTATCGTAAAAGTGTTGACAGATGTAAGCAGCTCCGCCGCACAATAATCCTCCAGTTCTCGACATTTCTCTTAGTTCTTTAGGTTTAGCACAACATAAAGTGGCGTCACCTTCACATTTCATCTGAAAATAAAATAATAGCATTAAATTAGTGAGGCAAAAAATTATAATTCATGAAATTTTTTAAATTTGATTTATATTTATACTTTATTAATTGCCATTTATGTTTATTTCTTCAAAAACTTATCAAAAAGACACGAAGTAAAAATATCTTTGAAATTAATTTATCTGTCACTAGAAGTCCTACTAACATAAATTTTGGGAACAGATACCCTTTTAAAGACTTTTACATATTACAATTTTGTTTAAAACTTACATATCATATTACGTAACATTTTTTTATAAATATTTTACATAATAGTATCTTCCACTTCAGTTTCGAGCTTTCCGTAGCTAGATAATGTGATGCCTAGATATTTAAACTTCATCACTTGTTCTAGTAACTAACCTTCCAGCTCCATTTTACATCTCAGTAAATTTGCTGTTTTAACCCATGCATTTTGTTATTTTTGGAAAATTAACATGTTAAATTTTCTGGCGGTTATATTAAATTGGTGCAGCATATGTTGTAAATTACCTTCACTTTTACAGAGTAGTATTGCGCCGTCTTCATAGCAGATTATTTTAAGTTGTTTTTCTCCCATTTGGTATCCTTTTATAGTTCATACTTTTTTTTATTATTTCATCCATAATCAGGTTGACCAATGGAGGATTCAGGGAATCTCCCTGTCTTATCCCATCGCCATATATAGTTGTGCCTATAAATCTTCTGAGATCTCATAAATGGCGAAGAAGACAGTGACGAACGAAATCACTTTTACAGAACAAAAAGGGACATTACATATACTATTCGACTACACAGCAATTAGTCCATATCCTTTCTTTCTCTGATGCCGTACCTCCTAATGGAGTATTGGATGGCTGTTTGCTTTCTTAGTCAATAATGGAATTAACAGTTTTCTATTTCTCGCTCTTCGTTTGACTTCTTCCAGCTCAATTCAATTCTTTCCTGTTCCATTGTTGTAGTTCTTCGCCAGCTATTATACGGTCTTCCTCTTATTTATTTTCTTCATGGCTATGTTAGTTTGATCTTTCCTTTGGTTATGGTAGATCGAGGTAGGGCCCATTTTTAAACCCATCAGACACTTGGACCACTTAAGATGGGTCCATTATGTCACCCATATCATACGGACTAGGAGTATACCGATCTAGTTTTCGGCGTTTCTGGGGCCCAGGCTACTCCGGACCCCATATCTGCTATAATCACAAGGAGCTCCAAATTTGAGGTCTGTTGATCTTTCGTTAGTGAATGCCTAATTAATTTCTATTTATTCTTTTGTCATTATAGGATCTGATCGAGCATTCTTCCACTAGATGTTTAACAGTTTGTCTCGCAGCACCGCAATCGTAGTTTGGAGAGGGTATTTTGCCCCACCTAAAAAGTGATTCGGAGTACCTGCCACGGTTTGTTCTGATTCTGTTCAGTGTAGCTTAGATGTGTCTTGGTTCGTCGAAATCCTCTGGCTTGTTTGTGATACAAGGCATATTATGGGTGTCAGGCGGTGCATTCTTCTGTCAATATTCTCGCCAACGGTCGGTTATCTTCAAAGTTCCTTTCAATTAGACTTCTTGCAAAATGTAGAGGGTTGTTTCTTAAACAAAGCCTACTTATGTCTCTGCAGGTGATACCAAAATGGAGTGGAGCATAGGATCGTCGTTAATTTTTCTATAAGCCCTGACAAGAGAATGTTCTCGGCGGGCGTGCGAGGGGGCTATGCGGCTTAGTGCTAGTAGTGAGTATTTTGGTGTGGGGGCTGTTGACCCATACTGGTGCATAGTACTACGCAAGATTATACACGAGTGCTGTCGATCTATGTGTAGACGCTGATGAACTTCATGTGGTACCGCATAACTTTTTCAGAATGTTATTTCGTGTTCCAAGCTTTGCAGTTATTTTTTTAAGATTTTATTTAATGCTTAGCGTTCTATCTATGTTTTGTTCTAATGCATAGTTCAAATACGACATTTTCTCAGGTCAGTAAATTTTTAGTATATTTCATAGTGATCTATTAACAAATATTTGCAATATTTTTGTGGTTGTCTCTTCACGCTTCTCAGTCGCTGCACCATACAGGAGAATACTCTTAACGCAAGTGTTGAATATTTTTATTTTTGTTGATTTCGATATACTATATGTGTTCCATATATTTTTATGAAGTTATAACCATGTTATTTCTTAGCCAGGATATTTTGCGTCGTCCCGGGTTTCTCTTCCATTGCATAATTGACCTAAGTAATACGTACTTCTCGACCCTCATTATATGACCCAGATATTGAATCTTCCCAGATACTGAAAAAAAAAATTGCTTGAGTGGAGACCACGGGCTGACAAGCGAAGCCGAGGAAGACCCCCAACGCGATGGACCGACGACCTCAAAAGAATCGTGACCAATTGGATAGCAGAGGCGCAGAACAGAAGCAGATAAAAAAGTCTAGAGGAGGCCTATGTTCAACAATGGGCAACTCAGGGCTGATTGATGATGATGATGATGATGATATTGAATCTTTCTAATTTTAACAGTTTTTATGACTTCACATTCTTTCTTCATTCTTTGTAACGCCTCTATTGGCGACGTGCAAGTACTTGGAGGGGACACGAGAAACGATCGTGCGCGAGTAGCGGAGAAATCTTGATTTTTTTACTGCATATTTCATAGATTTTATAAATTCATATTGTCAATTGTCATATTTCATATTCGTTTTGTTTATTTACACCTTCTGTCACTGAAGAAAATGGGATTTAGGAAATGCTGTGTTATAAATTGTAAAAATACAACAAAAAATTGTCAATTTAAGTTTTATTCGTTTCCAACTTCGAAGCACAAAGCTACTACAAAGATAAAAGTGGATTTATATCATAAAAAAGCATAAGTAACATAACCTAAATTATGCATTATTCTTGCGCCCGATTTTAAAGTCAGTTTGAAATAAATAATAAATAAAAGTTCACTTTTAAGTGTAAATTTTAGTTTCATAACACTCACTTAGAGTTCATTTTAACCCAAAAATCAAGTTTAATGTTTAAATTTTATTTTTTTGAAGTTTACAAGAATGAGTCAAGTTTTTCTGAAGATGCAATAAGATATATTCGCTGTCCAAAAGTTTACAGGGAAAGACTTAATTGTTTAAACCAATATGATGATATCATGGGCTTAACCTGCTAATTTAGGCATTTATGCATTAGCATTATTTATGGTAATTTATTTTTCTTAATTCTTTTCTTAATTCCTCCATTCTTTTTTGACATTTGCCACTACTAAAGATTTTCCCTTTGACTCAGTGCTTGGTTGAAAAGTTATTTGGTAATTTACTTTCTCAAATCCAGTTTTTATTATTGCATCCATATTAACAGTAATGCTGTAATTCAATAATATATATTTATTTGTATTCACGCTACATCAACGTTTACGTTTTAATAACATACCGACATAACCTGAATCTTACTTTTTCTTCTTATTCTTTTTTGGGGCCACGTCCTTGACAGTTATCCGGTAACCTCGATCTAACATAAAAGCGCAGTAAATTTTGCTGATTTACGACACCAGGTGTCGCTGTTCCGAACTTGCACGGTCCCAATATTAGTTACTTTTTCAGTCCACGATATTCTGTATATAGTAAAGCAGAAAAAAACGTAACAACGTAGCATTCTTGTGCGGATCTCTAGATTAAGGTTACGGTTGCAAAGTAAGTTAAGAGTAATGTCACTTGCAAATATGACCGTATCGTCCGCATATCTAATATTATTAATGCTATTTCCGTTGACCAAAATATCTTCCACAATATCCAATAAAGCTTCTTGAAATATCACTTCACTGTAGACGTTGAATAAGAGTGGTGAAAGTATGTACCCTTGTCGAACTCCTCTAAGTAAACTTACTTCCTCTGTCACTCTGTCAGTTCTCATTCGACTCTTATTCTTGCTTTCTGATTTTAATACAGATTCGATATAATTTGTAGATCTCTACTAAATACGTTTTTGGTCTTAAAAATTCATAAAAGCTTTTCATGTTGAACTCTGTCAAAAGATTTTTTAAAATCTATGAAGCAAGCATATATGTCCTGATTCATATCCAGACATCGTTGTGCCAGAACATTGACACCGAATAATGCTTCTCTAGTTCCTAGACCCTTTTTAAAATCCATCTGTGAATCACTTATTTCTTGTTCTAATTTCATGTGATTTATGTTATGTACGATTTTAAGGAAGGTTTTCAACGTGTGGTTCATTAATGCAATTGTCCGATAGTAATTGTAATCTTTAGAATTTATGATTATTGGAATCGTTACAAAAGTACAGAGAAGCCATTCTTTGGGTATATGTCCCGTCTTGTATATGGAGTTAAAAAGGTCTACCAAGACATCAATATTATCTTCATCAATTATCTTCAATAGTTCAATTGGTATTTTATCGGGTCCTGGAGCTTTTCTACCTTTTGTGTGTTTTATGGCATAAATAACTTCTTCTTTCATTACTTCTGATCCCGTGGTTTCTCCGTTAACTTCTAATTGTTTTACTTTTTGGTCATAAAATGGGTGTTCAATGAATTCCTTCCATCTACATCAAGATATTTATATAATTAATTAATTCATGAAAAATCCCCAAGAATATTTATTATAAATTACGTAAATTGTTGACCCACTTAAATTGGCACATTCAGAAAATAAAGCAAACGTATTGCATAAACACAGGTGTGTCTTGTTTCATAATATTTTCGCTACACTTCAAGTTAGCCTTGCATACTCAGCACTTTTGTATAAACATTATTTGACCTAATAACCAATGTTATATAATCGTAAACATACAATAATAAGTCGATAATAAAAGTCATCTGTTTTTAATCTTGATCAAGGTGTACCGCACGGCTCCGAATTTGTACCATTAATATTTCTTTTATATGTCAACGATTTGATAAATTTTTTAACTGCAGATCATACAGTTCTCTATGCAGATAGTTCAACAATTGTAGTTGACGCGGCAACTGAAGTCGAACTCATATCAAAAATGAACTTGGTTGCACAGGAATTTACAACCTGGTGTAAAAGGAACTCTTTTCTGAGGAAATACCTTTTTAAGCATTCTAGAGAGTTATATGACATAGGATGAAAATGTTACTAAAGTCTGCAAAACAATGAATAAGGGTAACTATGCGATCCTTCAGTTGAAAACTCTATTTAATACTAATCAATTGATAAGTGTATACTATGCATTGGTTTATTCATATATGACCTACAATGTTGTTTTGTGGGGAAACTCTAGGAACTCTTCTAGAGTTTTTATAACTCAAAAGAGAATTATTAGATTGATGTTCAATATTGATAATAGACAATCCTGTCGTAAATATTTTATTGAACACAGACTGCTGACTTTCCATGCTTTATATATTTATAAGTGTATTATTCACGTCAAAACTAAATTTCAAAATTTTACCTTTAACTCTGACTTTCATAATTACCTGACAAGACACGGAAAGTTGATAAGCGTGTGTAAACACTCCACAACTCTTTTTGAAACTAGTCCTGATTTTGCAGGATCTAAATTTTACAATTGTTTGCCACTTAATATGAGAAATAAAAATAAGATTAAAAAATTTGAAAATAAATTAAATTAAAATCATGCTTAATCCAATTATGCCTTTACAACCTAAATGATTATTTTGACTTAATAGAAGACTGCAGGGAATTAAGACCGACGGGGTTCAGAGACGCTCTATATTGCATATCTATTTTTATTTTAATCAATATTTTGTTGATTATGTTTTTTGTAATTGTCCTATACCACAATGTAATCTCATTAGATTAATAAAGAATATTCCATTCTATTCTATTAAGCAGAGTTCACCATTTCATTCATTACTCGTATTTCAGTCTAATCAGCATTCACAATGTGAACACGAACTAATATAAATAAGTAATGACATGAATATGCTATTCCCTTGTAATTAAGTATCCAATAAACGAGATAAATCACAAGCTTAATATGTAGTTATTACCCATCATCCAAGGCAAGATGTAGTTGTAGTTACATTAGAGAAGTACACTCGATTTATACATTGGCGGTACGATGAGAGTATATTTCATTATACCTTTGCTATTCTTTTCTGTAAATATGATCTGCATCCGGCTTTTTTCCATGTTTTATCCCAGTTATGCATCTATTTTAATTTAGTTTTCTACCTATTATTTTTTTAGAAGCTGCCAGGAAATTTTAAAATCAATACGGAAAATAATTTTGGTTAAAAAACTAATCTACAGAAAACACAGTCTACTAGAAAACTAAATCCAGTCTATAATAAGGAACAGAGTCGTAGAAAGGACGCATCTTTGCTAAACGCTGCTCGGTATAGATATTACTTCGGTCATTTCTGCCATATTTTTTAGTTTGGCTGTGTATCCTTTATCGACTAATCTAATCAGATGACTTTGAACTAATCTAATTAGGTACTGTCTCAGAATCTTCCACATTACACTACATCATTTTACATGCAGTGACTTAGTGGGTATGTCCAATGTTTTTAATATTATTTTAATTGTGACGTGTACTTGTTAGTTACGAAGTTTTACATGCTTGACAATATTATTTTTTGAAAAAGGCATGGATTTCCTGCCGAAACGTCGAAAAAATATATGAAAATGTTTTAGTATCAAATCATTTTTTTAATGAACCTAAGCCCAAGTAAATCAACTAACAAAATATATATTAAGGTTCAAGAACTAAACTCAAACTATATATATATATATATATATATATATATATATATATATATATATATATATATATATATATATATATATATATAAATATGTACCTATGACGATAAACAGAAGTAATAAGTGTACATCTATGTATATTACACTGCATGCGTCTCGGTCTCACGTGAGATTGACTCGAACCCATGCAAAAACATACAGGCATACCCAGAGAACCCAGAGATAAGTATTCACTTCAAAAACAAAAAGTATTTAAAAAGTGAAGGATTATAGTCACGTAAATCCAAAGGAGTATATATAACTGATTTTATAGGAAAATAAAATTGTTGCATTTACTATTTTCCTTAGAATTTCATCAATTTTTTCACATTTTAAATCTTCCTAGGGCTTCTATATATATTTGAAACTCAAAATTAGTCAAATCAGTCCAGTCGTTCTCGGGTAATTAAAAAAAGTTCTAAAAAATACACAGTGAGTCACTGGATTCTCGTACAAAGGATGTGGTTCCGTACAAGGTAAAACATTTAACTGCTTTTATTTTCATAAGAGGTTAATATTAACATTACTCCTATGTTAATTTTGTTACTATTGGCATAAAAACGAGAAGCGGCAACACTGCACGTGTCGTCGGTATTAGCGAATCATTTAAATCATAATGATACTTCTGTTCTATAAAGATTTGAGTTTTACTCGTTTGTGTACTTTACGTAATATATCATGTAGGTAATAAAATTATTATTATTTTACAAGCCCATTTGTTATGCTAATGTTTGACTTCTATCGTATGACCTATTTTAAGAAAATATAAAAAATACCTGATCATCAAGGAACAACTCGTTTGCTATATGTACCAAATACTCCACTTGAATGATACCACCCAGCGACGGAACGATGTTATATTCAGAAACTAATGTGAGAACCATTAAAGCTTCTACTATAAGCTGTCTGTATTCCGGTTGTGGAATCGTATTTAGAACAGTTTCTACTGCCAGAGCAAATTTCAGTTCACCAGAAGTCATTTCTTGAGTTAAAGTTTGAGGCAGGACTTTTCCGGCAATGTCTAAACCTTGACACTAAAACAAGAACAACAATTTTAAAAATATGTAAATCAAAATATAAAACATTTTCAAGTAATAAGAGTTAATTAGAAACGTAAATTTTTCTATAACTCCTACAAACTAAAAATCATTTTCAGAACATAGATATTACTGAAAATTTAACAAACGGTTCTTGATATACTATACTGAGAAACATATAAAATAATTTAGTATGTGACGTACAAGTGTAGACTATCCTGACTATTCAATGAATAATCAGAATCAACTTGAATATATTGTTACGAACGTGCATTTAACGAGGCACGTATAACGGTTGCATCTCGAAACAGCACCTCATGCTTCCATGCGGCGCGGCGGCATCTCGAAAGCGACTCGATATTTCGAGAAAGATCTGTCGCGTTCGCCTAGAGGTGGGAACTTTCTAGAAAATAGTAACTTTAGTATATATATGTAACGATCTTAGGAATAAGTTTAGTTGATAAGAGAATTCCGAACTGTAAAGTTATAAATAAATATATTTATATAAATTCGAACCGCTCGTTTTATTTAAAAACGGTACAGTTGGTGTCACCGTGTGAGGACAATTGATTTGAATATAAATTCAACAGTGATTTAAAAAAAAGACTTTTGAACTTTTGAAAAGTATTGTTTGTCGGGAACATCCGCGTAGTTCAGTAGTGATCGTTGTACGAAAGAACATTTAAAAAGTACGTGTGTGCCTGACCAAAGATGCTGTTAGTAGAACTTTCAGTGAAACAGTTGCGTGAGCAACTAGAAGAACGCGATGAAGACTGCAGCGGGTCCAAGAAGATCCTCCAAGAACGACTGAAAAATGTTCTTAACAATAATGGAGATGACCCAGATACATTCCAGTTTCAATCAGCAGAAGGAGCAGTTTTAACAAAAATAATTGATGGAAAATTTGAAAATGTGTCGCATATGATTGAAGAATCTTCTAAAAAAAAAATGATGATAAATTCGAGAACGTTTCCAAAAGATTCGATGAAACGTCTCAAATTATTAAAGAAGTAGCTAGACAAAACGACGAGACTTCACAAATTATTAAAGAAATATGTAATCAAAACAATGAGAAATTTGAAGAAATTTCTAAAACATTCGATAAAGTAGAAGAGAAGATCAAACAGCTAGAGACCATGATAACTAACACGAAAGTGCTACCACCAATTAATACGGTAGCTTTAGATCCGGTAGTGAAAGAAGAATCATCTAGAGACGAAATGACACATAATATGAGATTCAAATTACCACCATTTGATGGAAAGTCCTCTTGGTCCATATACCTTAGACAATTTGAAGCTATTGCGACAGCCAATCATTGGACAGAACAAGAAAAGGCTGTTTCCTTGACTGCTGCTTTACGAGGTGATGCTGCAGATATCCTAAGATCGATTCCTAAGGGTCAAGAAAAATGTTACCAGACCTTGTTTACTCGACTAGACAAACGTTACGGAGATGCCCATCTACAACAAGTCTACAAGGCGCAACTAAGAAGTAGAACTCAACGAGCAAGTGAGAATTTGCAAGAGTTTGAAGCAGATGTTGCTCGTATAGTGCGGTTGGCTTATCCGGAGATACCAGACAACATTTTGGAAGAAATTGCCGTAGATACCTTCGTCAATGGGTTAAAAGAAAGTGAATTACAGAAAGCTTTACGACTAGCAAGACCGAAAGTTCTAGATGAAGCGCTCGCTATTGCCTTAGAACATGAAACAGCTAGTCAAACTTCACGGAGCCATCGAGTAAGAGCCATTGAAGAAGGCGACGAACCAAACAATGAACGTCTAGAAGAAATGGTACGAAAAATAGTTCATAACACGCTGCCGAAGAGACGCGAGCCCAGATGTTGGAATTGTGGTGACGTAGGTCACATTCGCCGTAATTGCAAGAAAATGATACAACAGTCGGAAAACTAGAACGGGTCGACACTAAGGGGCAACTGCCGACCTCGAGAAACACAGCCCCCATAGTAACTGTGAACATTACGTCCTCCGGTGGAATTCATAGCTTGTACATCGAGGGTCGTATTAATAATAAATGTATATCGTTTTTGGTAGATACAGGTGCAACAAGAACTATAGCACGGCCAGAAGTAGTACGAGACCATCTTAAATTATCGCCTGCAACAGTAAAGCTTAGAACAGCAACTGGTGAGATAATTAATACATATGGCGAGGCTAATATGTCAGTATCCATTGGCCAGATAACAGTGAAACATCGAGTATTAATTGCAGAGATCTCTGACGAGTTCATATTGGGGATGGATTTACTACGGAAAGTTGGGGCTGTATTGAATGTCAAAGATGGAGTTCTCGAGATCGGTGGTGAAGAGTTGCCGTTTCATGAAGACAAAGAAGATGTTATCAGCTTAATAACTACTTGTGACGTAACAATACCCGGTAATAGTGAGAAAATTTTGATGGCCAGACCTGATGGTTACTGCCGAGAGGGAAGTTTAAGGATGGTCGAAGATGTGAACAATGCCGAGTTCCTAACGGCAAAAGCTTTGGTGAGAATTCGAGATATCGTTCCTGTAAGAATTATGAATTTAAAGGGAACTGCTATTAAGTTAAGTAAAAGAACTTTGATCGGACAGTGTGTTCCCGTGGCTTCGATTTGTTCCATGAGTACTAATGAGAAACCGTCGAAATCTAAGTATCCAAAGGAGTTTGTTGAGACGATGATTAAAACGTGCCAAGATCTTGATGATGAACGAACTAAAAAAGTGAAGTCTATGCTGATAGAATTTCAAGACGTTTTTGCCATTGATAAGAAGGATAATGGCAAAACAAGCATAGTAAAGCATAAAATTAATACCGGAGACGCTCAGCCAATCAGACAACAACCTAGACGACTTCCATTTGCGAAAAGAGATGAAGCCGAAGACATCATCAAAGATATGAACAAACAAGGGGTAATTGAACCATCAAACAGTCCATGGACATCACCAGTAGTACTAGTAAAGAAGAAAGATGGTTCAACACGTTTTTGTATTGACTACCGACAGCTCACTGCAGTAACAAAAAAAGATAGTTATCCTTTGCCCAGAATAGACGGCACTTTGGATACACTTTCTGGTTCTCGTTGGTTCTCCACACTCGATCTGAAAAGTGGATATTGGCAAGTAGACATGGAGCCAGCTGATCGTGAGAAAACCGCATTCTCGATAGGATCAGGGCTTTGGCAGTTCACAGTTATGCCCTTTGGTTTATGTAATGCCCCGGCCACATTTGAAAGATTAATGGAGGCAGTTTTAAGAGGTCTAACATGGAAAACATGCCTGGTTTATTTGGATGATGTAATTGTAGTAGGAAGATCCTTCGATGAACATGCCAATAATTTGACAGAATTCTTTCAACGATTGCGGGCAGCAAATTTGAAGTTGAGTCCGAAGAAATGTCACTTGTTTCGACGAGAAGTGAAGTACTTGGGACATATTGTAGCAAGTAATGGTGTAACAGCTGATCCTGAAAAACTTGCAGCAATTAAGGATTGGCCAGTACCAAGAGATAAACACGAAATTAGAAGTTTTCTTGGCCTATGTACATATTACCGACGTTTTGTCAAAGGTTTTGCCAACATCTCCAAGCCATTAACAAAGTTGACAGAAGAAGGCAAAGAATATACATGGAGCGAAGAATGTCAAAGAGCTTTCGAACACCTACAAATGGCCCTCTTGGCAAGACATTAGTGCATGTAGTCCTGAAGTCAAGTGTTACTGGAGCCAATGGAATTGCCTGGTGCTAAAAGATGATCTTCTTTATAGAACCTTTGAGAACGATGATGGTACAGAATCTAAGCTTCAGTTGATTGTACCTAAAAGTAAAGTGTCAGAAGTATTGCGTCAGTTACATGACGGTGCATCAGGTGGACACTTTGCTATTACGAAGACTCTGCAAAAGGTTCGAGAACGGTTCTATTGGGTGAACTGTAAAGATGATGTAAGAAGATGGTGCCGGAAATGTGAACTGTGTGCAACCAGTAATGGTCCAGTTGGTAAAAAGAGGGCACCCATGAAACAGTACAATGTTGGTAGTCCTATGAAAAGAGTAGCAATCGACATTGCAGGTCCACTTCCAGAGACAAACGATGGAAATAAATATATCCTGGTAGCAATGGATTATTTTACAAAATGGACTGAGGCCTATGCGATACCAAATCAGGAAGCTGCTACCGTTGCAGAGGTACTTGTTAAAGAATTCTTTAGCCGATTTGGTGTTCCCTTGGAGATCCACTCCGACCAAGGGCGAAACTTCGAGTCGACCCTTTTCCAAAACGTTTGTAAATTGATTGGTGTCAATAAGACCAGAACGACACCCCTGCATCCTCAATCAGATGGAATGGTCGAGAGAATGAACCGAACGATGGGTAAACACCTGTCCAAAGTTGTATCAGAACATCAAAGAGATTGGGACCAGCACATTCATTTATTCCTAATGGCCTACCGCTCGGCCGTGAATGAAACTACCGGCCAGACTCCAACCTGCCTGATGTTAGGTCGTGAAGTTCGTTTGCCCTGCGACCTAGAGTTTGGCTCCAGACCTTCCGAAGAACATGTTGCAAGCGAAGATTATGTCGACCGCCTGAAGTTAAGAATGAACAACATTCATGAACTTGCCCGACAACACATCCAGTTAGCCAGTGACAGAATGAAAGATCAATATGATTCTCGATGCAAAAATGAAAGCTATAAAGTAGGTGATCTTGTTTGGCTTTATAATCCACAACGTCGTCGTGGCTTGTCTCCTAAACTGCAAAGACAATGGGAGGGTCCGTATGAAATTAAAAAGAGAATAAATGACGTAATATACCGAATTAAAAAGTTACCGAAAGGTAAACCAAAAGTAGTTCACATAAATCGGCTTGCACCTTATGCTGGCTCAAATGAAACGGAAGAAGCACGAATCCTTCAACATGAGATCAAAGATAAACGGCGACCAAGCTTTAAGGAGTTTATGTCAAATTACGCAGAGAGAAAGAATGCTAGATTCGGCGTG